TAGACTTTTCTTCCAAATTGGCCCGTTTAGAGCTACTCTTAAGCCGTAAGATGTTATGTGAATATGACCCCTGCTCTCTGCTTGATGTGCTCTAAAAGAATGTGTGCCAGCCAAAGCTGCCTGGGAGCAAAAGCCATGAGATGAAGAGTGTGGCGAGCCAAGGCCTTTTTCAGAAACTAACTAACTAAACCCTTCACATAGAGGAAAAATAAGAAAGTGGATATTTTTCCTAGGAATGGACTAAGCCTCTCTTTTCACCTGATGTGTTTTACTTTAGCAGATTTTTACCTCTTATCAATTCTCTCACCGGGATAAGTGTCACATTTTGACATTTCGTTTTCATGAGCAGGAGATATAAAATAAGATATGATATTTGTTGTTCCATGGAAAAATTCATTTTGCAAGACCTTCACATCGCAAACAGTGGAGGAAAGCGGATACTCGCAATCATTTTGAATGCTGAATAAATGCTGATTCGACAGACTACATCATTGCTGAAAACCAGTGTTAAGTCAAGACGACATCTGCAGTCATCCGTAGCTGCTCCCGGCATCATTTTGTGAAATCAAGATCTACAGTAAATACCTCTCTTCTCAAAGAAAAAATATTTGGGTTGATTTCCTTCACAGTTTCTTTTTAAACCATATTCACAGCTTTCACTTCACATTTGCATTCAGTTACATTATCCATCTGGTCATTCTTGACCAGATTTATTCATTCTAACATTGTTGCAATATTATTATTTCCAACCTCTACAGGGCAGAATGAAAATATGCAATACTTTATTGTTTGCCCTGTAGCAGACTTTTCTCCTATCGCTCCCTTTTTTTCCACCTTTTGCAAGTGTGTAATGAAGCTTCTGCATACTTAATTCAAAAAGTCCACTCTTAACTTCTCTCTATTTTCTCATCCAAAGGGCTGAACCTATTCTGACCCGGATGAAGGAGGATCACACCCGCATCATCCTGCCCGCCATAGACAACATCAAGTACAACACGTTTGAGGTGCAGCAGTACGCCAACGCCGCCCATGGCTACAACTGGGGTTTGTGGTGCATGTACATCATCCCTCCGCAGGAGTGGCTGGACAAGGGCGATGAGACGGCCCCTATCAGGTGAGGAGCCCAGCTGGCGAACGGCGTCCATTATAGATGAGGATGTTTGATGAAATATGGATAGCCTTGGGATATTACTTATTCATGTGTGGAATTATCAAACTAAGTTACTCTGTAGTCCGACATGCTGCCCAAACACACAAATAAAGCCTTCCTGTAGCAAGCTGTCTAATTATCATGATGAATATCTTCATTTTGATGCAGGATCATGAGGCCACAGCGAAGCAGTGTCATTAGTGTAATTGTGTGTTGAATATGAGCAGGGCATTCCATTATACCACCACTGATTGGAGGACAGCATTGGCTGGTGTCATGTTTCTGTATAATCCTAGAATTGATTATGTGTGTCCTGGGTCAAATCATATTGGATTTTAATTGACTGAGAAAGAGTACAGGAGTATTGCGTGACATGGAAGTGGTTTTATATTCCAATCAACATCTGTTCACCGTCCACGTGGTTGTTAAATTTGATGCTTTATCTGTGGACATTAGCTTACTATTAAAGCACTTTACTAGACCTTCTGCTAGTGGCCATATAGGTTATAATAATATTATGTAATCACAGGATTACAGGTTTGCTTGTAGAAACAAAAGAAAATGAATATAATGTATTTTTCCACAACAACATTTTCAGTTTTTGATGTCTTTTCGATTGCTTTTAAGCTACAGTCAATGAAACTCAACCCTTCCTCTAGATGTTTCATGGGAAGTATACCAGAAAACACAGAGTAGGATAATGCTTTTTGGGTCACTGGAAGACTTTTTTAGGTGAAACATCTGTGCAGAAAGTGTTAGAAGTGTTGTCTTAAGGTGGGGTCCATTGACCCATGAACGCCACCTGTTGTGTTGT